CCCTGGGAAGAAGCATTTTGTCTGAGGGGCATGGAGGGGGCTGTTAGTGTAGGGGCTGTGTCCTTTGCGCCCCCCACCACCATGCTGATGTGGAGGGACTCTGCACGTAGCCCAGCCTCTCCTCCATCTCCCGGCCCTGACCCTACCTGGCCTCCTCTCAACCTGCAGTGTGGACCTGGTCCACGCCCAGATCCACGTAGCTGAGGGCAGGAGCCTGCCTGACCTGGGTCTGCGGCAGGAGAACATCCGAATCAACGGCTGCGCCATCCAGTGCCGTGTCACCACAGAGGACCCTGCGCGCGGCTTCCAGCCAGACACCGGCCGAATCGAGGTAGGCAGCAAGTCTCCCGGGGCTGCCCCAGTGGGTGAATCTGCAACTTAGAGTGCATGGAAGGCAGACGTTGTCTGAGGGGCATAGGAGAGTATTCCTAAGGAAGGAGAGTGCCAACTGTACCTGGCATGACAAGACGGACAGGTTGGAGCATGCCCGGAAATAGGGCTCCAGGTCTGTCAGCAAAGACCAGGCTGAGGTGTGCAGCAGGTGACTGGGGCCCAATGGCCCAGTCAGGGAAGGGAATTGCTAGGCCATCTTGGGCATGTTGGGAGCAGGGAGGAGCCAGGACATGACTTGAGAGGGGCCCCTGAGAGTTCAGGGCCGACTCCCCAGTCTCCCCTCTCTTCTCAGTGTTGGGCCTCTGGCTCCAGGGTCCTGTGCAGGATACTGTCCTTCCCATTGGCCAAGCCGGGCACGTGCGTACATGTGACCCAAGCCCTGAAAGGGAGGAAGAGCAGGCCACCAAGCAGGAAAGGTGTGGGACAAGATCCTGGGCTTTAAGACAGACTCTGGCAAGATTGAGATTGTAGGTGGTCTCCGTCCAGCGGGTCCTGACTTGTCTGACCTCGGCTGGCAGGGCAGCCGGGGCCTCTCCCTTCACTGGACCCCTGCGTACCTGCATGTGCAGTGCCGAGGACAGCTTCACTAGCCTGGTTCACCGCAGAGTATTTTTAGCAGAGAGTTCCTGCTCATGGCTGGGCATCCGCCTTTAAATATTTCATTAAGTTCCTTTTTCCCGAGTAGAGCCTGTGCCCCTCAGGAATGGACTTGTGCTGCCATGGGTGCCCCTGTCCCTCGGGGCATCCCTCCCCGCTGTGAACACCCCCCACACACACCATCCCCTTGCTCTCTGCTGGAGCTGCCTGTGTGTGTGTTGAGTACATGTCCATGTGTCCTTGTGTCCATGTACATGTGTGTATCACAGATCCCAGGGTCCTCTCCCCAGTCCCCAGGTGTCCTCTCCTGCAGATTTTGAAGCCCTTGTCCACTCAGCCCAGCTGCCTCTCAGCTCACTCTTGGCTTGGGGGGAGGAGGGGTGGTGGCACCAGGCTTTCTTTCCCCCTCCCTCCCTGCCTCTGTGGGTTTGATCACTTTCCTTGATATGGGATTCTGGGTATTTCCATTTCTACCTCCTTCCCGTCTTCCTCCCTTCTTGTCATTTGGAAGGAAAGGGAAGCCGGTGGGCGTTGAGGCTTCCCCATCGCCCTGGGTGTTCGAAACAAAAACACAAAGCATGAGAAACCCCTCTCTACCCTGCCTGCCTGTCCTCATCCCTGGCTGCATTGTCCTTCAGCACACGGTCAGCATTTGCCACCTGGGCTTTCCCTGTCTGTCTTCGCCTCCGCACACCATGGAGACAGGACGTCCACTTGAAGTGCTGGGTCTCTAGTGTCTGGCATGCAGTGGGCACTCTAGAGTGTCTGTAGAAGGAGTGAATGAGCCAATCAGTGAGTCTGAAAGTTGAGGTGAAGTCAAGCAAGCGGTGGACGTCCTGGGTTTCGCTGGCAGAAATGGGGCAAAATCCACAAGCCAAATTGGCGGGAACTCGTGAGCACCCAGTGCGCACACCCATGGAAGCTGGCGTGGAGCCACGGCTGGACTCTCGTGCCAACGTCAACACCCCTCTACCTGCAGGTGTTCCGAAGTGGCGAAGGCATGGGTATCCGCCTGGACAACGCCTCCGCCTTCCAGGGAGCCATTATCTCCCCCCACTATGACTCCCTGCTGGTGAAGGTCATCGCTCACGGCAAAGACCACCCCACAGCTGCCACCAAGATGAGCAGAGCCCTGGCTGAGTTCCGAGTCCGTGGGGTTAAGGTGAGTGACCCCAGACTTCTGCGCTCCGGCAGCATCATGTCCACAGCCACTGCCCATCACAGCCCTGCAGCGGGCAGGGCAAGGCAGAGCTCTGCCTGAGCCACCCCCACCCCCAGCTTGGGCTTTGTGAGGTCCATGGCTCTCCTCACCTGCTTCACACAATAGCCGCGTCCCTTGCTACTGGCCTGAGCGTCTGGTTGTGAGTGGATGGTGGCTCTGGGAGGCATTGGTATATAACCCACATGGTGCCAGCCTCCTTCTGAGTTGGTCTGGGGAGGGGTCCAGGCCTGCACTTAGAACCAGGTCTCTGGGGCTACCTGTTTCAGGAAGATGGCCCTGTGTGGAATGAGTATGCTGTGTGGGCAGACCTTCCAACAGCTACTGCCCAAAGGCCAGGCCTAGCACAGGCTTCATGTTGGTCCTTAAGGGGCAGGCCGGAGTGTGACCACCCAGGGGTGATCGTGTCAACTTCTGGGGCACAACTCGGCGCCCCTGCCAAGCAAAACCTTCAGTTCCCATTAGAGTTTCTGTTAGAACTTCTTTGTAGGGTTCATATTGGACAGGAGCTCACAGTTGGGTACCTTTGAATTGAAGGCCAGCACCTCCCCACACAGCTGGTGGGCAACCCGAGGGTCGGCATCACCCTTGGGAACTGTGGCAAAAGGGGGCCTGGCCCCCTATGATCCCGCCACCCCCTCCCACCCCCCGCCCCCACTGGGAGAATAGCTGCTGGGGAGATCCCTCCTACTTCTCCCTACACTGGGAGGCCCCCTCAACCCAAACACACAGCCCCCAGGATGCACTGGGACAGTTTACTAAGCCCCTTCCCCGCATCTCCCGGCAGTCAGGGCGGGCTGCAGGCTCCCTCTGTCCCGGGTGCTTTCTAGGTCTACCTACAGCTCTGCCGTGGCCATCCCCATAGATGTCCCCTCAGTTGTCCCCAGGTTTGACTTGTCCTGGTGGTTGTCTCCGAGGTTGTCCTGGTATTTTCTCTGATGGGTGCAGAAGTCTTTTGAAAAAGCGCAAGCAGGTAGTGGGCGCTGGGGCCCTGGTCCACCTTCCCAGGGAGCAGCATGTTCCTGTTCTGTCAGAGGACTTGTTGCCGCACCAACTTCAGAGCTGTCGTGACCGATGCCTATGCTCAGCCCGCTCTGCCTGCGGGGACTTGGCACGCCCCCACCTGGGCGTTGGTCCTGTGGCTGCCCCAGTGTCAGGTGGGGCTGCATGCCCAGGGCACATGTGACCCATGGGCTCAGTCCAGCCTGTCCATGGCTCCTCGCTGCCTTACTGGCAACTGCAGTCAGTCCCTTGTGGTTATACCTAGATTCTCTAGAACCTTCCTCTTGTCCTACCTCCGCAGGCCCAGAAACATCTACCACCTTAGACCCCACTGCAAGCAGGGAGACAGGGACCCCAAGGAGAAAGAAGGGCAGCAGCAGAGGACAAGAGTCCTGGTTTCTGGGGGTGCTGGGGTCTCTCTTGAATGTGACCCTTTATTAGGCCCCCTCCTCCTGCCAGTGGTGCCAATTCCAGGGGTGCCCACAGGCTGCATGGGTGGGGCTGGCTTCAAAGGAGCTCTCTGTCCATCATTGGCCCTGCAGCCCTGTAGCTCCCCGGTGTTCCTGCCCTGCGGGCCCACTGGCTTCCCTCCCTCACACCCCCAGGCTTCATTCTCCTCCTTACTGAGGACTTAGTCTCAGGATCTCAGTCCACTCCAGGTACATGTGCTGGGCCAGGGGAGCGGAGCCCATGTGTGACACTGTGTGGTCACCAATATGTGAGCGCAGCCTGAACACGAGTTCAGGCACGTTCAGCTTAGCCACCCTTGGAGCCCCCGAGGTCTTCAGTGAGACCGCTGTGCACCCGAGCAGTCTCTGCCAGGCCCCACCCTCCGGCAGGGCCCAGGCACCTGCACGTCTGACAAGCTGCAGGGCACAAAGCCTTGAATGTGGGTATGTGCCACCTGTTCCTTCCAGCCAGGCACCCAGAAGGCTGCAGGGACCTCAGGGATCCCGAGGGAGAGGCTGATAGCTTCTTGGGGGTGGGCTCCAGCAGGGGAGCAGCCATGCATGTGTGTACATTCATACACACTCTGTGCATCTGCCTCCAGTGTCCAGGGCCTCCCCATCAGCAGTCTCCCTTGAACGGGAGGGAGCTCCCACTGGCCTTCCTTCAAGGAAAGCCCAGAATTCAGTGCTAGAGCACTGCATGGAACCTTCCAGAGGTCCCAGGGCAGTGGTATTCCCAGCCCTTTTCCAGTCTCTGTGGGGGACTAGAGAGAGGAGAGAAGGTTGTCACGGCGTTTTTACCGAGTCGTGCCGAGAGCTGCTGCCAGCCCAGACTGCTTCTGTCTAAAAGTGCTGTACTATATCCCACCTCCGGCCACTCAGCCCAGACAGGGCTCTCCCGCGCCCCACCACATGCTGCACCTCACAGAGAACCTCTCTGTGGCCTTCAGGCTGAGTGACCCAGGCTGACCCGTCCTATTTGTGGGCTTACATGTGCCACCCGTCAGCCCTCACCAAGAAATCAGCAGCATGAGGCTAGAGACCAGCACTGAGGTGTCCCCAACATTTTTATTATAAATAAAAACAAGATTCTTGTACGGTGGCTTCAAGCACCTGTCACCTGTCAGAGGGACTGCTCCCCACCGCGTCTGGAGACCAAGACCAGGGACAGGTCCTGTCCGGCCAAAAGCTGGTGGGGCCTGAGGTACCGAGAGTGAAAATGGAAGGGCTCCGGGCGGCGTGTACTTACCCAGGTGGGTCGCCTGCCCTCCTGCCACCCCCTCACTTGGGCCTGTTCTGCATAGTGCAGGGACTTGAGGTGCCTCTCACAGCCCCCACCCTCACACCACACTCTCCTCCAGCCGCTCAGCACTGCCCCCGGCCCCTCGGCACCCTGCACCTAGCAGCCCCCCGTGCACAGAATGGCTCCGTCGCGCCCAGGCCCCTCCCAGGCGCCTGGCATACCCGTAACACCCGCCAGCGTCACCCAGGTCCAGGGAGCAGCTGCGCTGGGGACGGGGTGGGGGGCTCCTTGGTGGGTGGCTCTTGGGTGTGGGGCTGGGGCCTCCATTGGTCTGAGATTGGACGTGGCTGAGCTTGAGGGGCAGGCGGCCATTGCCAGCCCCTCGGCCCCGAACCAGCAAGGCTACAGTGAAGACCAGCAAGGCGGCCACCAGCACACCCCCTACTGCCACCGTCAGGGTCCCGCCCAGCACGTGGGCTTGCAGGGCGTGGCACAGAGGCATGGCTGGCAGCGTGGAGAAGTGGGCACAGCCCAGCAGCCTAGTGGCCGTGAGGTCAGAGGGCCCGGCAGCCGGAGACAGGGCCAGCAGGCAGAGGTCATAGTCTGCGCCGGGGACCAGATGTTTCAGCAGGAAGTTGTGGCTGGAAGCTGGGACAATCCTAGGAGCAGAGCGGGCGGTCAGAGCACAGGGTGAGGGTCCAGCCTTCTACAGCTCCTACCTACTCCCCCAGGACACACACAGGAGACAGTGAGGGTGGGCAGCTGGGCACATGCAGGACACACATGCCCCAGGGAGGTGAGACTGAGCAAGGCACGCTCCACGGGGCAGAGCTGGGGTGTGTGCAGGCCCATGAATGTGAGTCCAGACGAAGCCAGCCCCATGGCCTCTCGGCCCTGCGGCCCCATCAGCGTTCTGAGTGGCCTGGGCGTCCTCACCGGTAGATGAGGGTCTCATCCTCACTGCAGTTGTACTGGATCTGGAACATCCACACTGGCTCCGCTGGCCTCCCTGGCCCCCAGCTCACCAGCCCGGAGCTGGTAGTCACTTCGGTCACCTGCACAGCTGCCTCCGTCTCTTGAGTCCCCTCGCCCTCCGCAGCAGTGCGAGCTGAGGCAGCAATGTCCGAGGGTCCTGGGCGGCCACCCTCAGTGCTGCCGTTCCCCCCATGGGGCAGGGCCAGTACCCGCAGCTCCACACGGGCTGTGGCCTCGCCCGCAGGATTAGTAGCAATACAAGTGTAAGCCCCTGCATCGCCAGCGCCCGTCACCCCAAGCTCCAGGGTCCCGTTGGGGAAGGCTCGGGCCCTGGAGGAGTTGCCCACCAGACGGTCATCAGGGCCAACCCAGTGCATGGTGGGTGCAGGGTCGCCCAGGGCCCGGCACCGCAACATGGCCCGCTGGCCCTCCAGCACCCAGAGGCGTTGCGTGTGGCGCGCAATGAGGGGTGGCTCGCAGGAGAACTCGGCCTCAGGTACCGCCCAGAAGTAACGGCCGGCCAGGCCAGGCGGCGAGGCGCACGTCTCCAGGTCGTCTGGCCGCACCAGCCGCCGCAGCCACAGCAGTTCGCAGTTACAGTGGAGAGGATTCCCGCTGAAGCTCAGTACCAGTGGCGTAGCTGAGGCCTCGACATCACGGCCCCGGGAGAAGAGCGGGTCGGGTGCCAACGTGGCCAGGCGGTTGGAGGTGAGGTCTAGGCGGGAGAGTTGGCCAAGCTGGGCGAAGGCGCCTGGGGGCAGTGCGTCGATGAGGTTGTGGTCCAGGTTGAGTGTGTGCAGGGCGGGCATGGCCCCGATGCCAGCCCAGGGCACCTGTCGCAGGTTGTTATAGGACAGGTCCAGGTCTTCCAGGCTCTCCAGGAAATCGTCGAAGGCTCCGGGTGCAATTCGGCCCAGCTGGTTGCCACTGAGGATGAGGTGTTGCAGGTTGGCGGGCCCTCGTAAGCTGCCGGCGCCCAACTCCACCAGCCGGTTGCCGTCCAAGTGCAGTGAGCGCAAGCTCTCTAGGTCCCCAAAGGCTCGGGCGCCGATGCGGGTGATGGCATTGCGGGACAGCGTCAGGTCCACCAGCCCCGTCATGTTGCGGAAATCAGGCGGGCCCAGGGCCTGGATGAAGTTGTCGGCCAGCCGCAGCTCGACTGTGCGCCGGTCCACGTTGGGTGGCACAAAGAGCAAGCCCCGGTGGGCGCACAGGGTGCTGAGCGACTCAGACAGGTTCTGGCAAACACAGGGCAGCGGGCAGGCGGCCGCTCCACTGGCCAACAGCAGCAGCAGGAGCGGCGGGGCCATGGTGAGCGCCCTGCAGGAGGGACGGAGGGCCACGGCCCAGGCACAGGTGGAACTGGCGCTGGTGCCCATCCCAGCAGGGGCTGGGCCTGGGTCAGGGTCTGGGGGACAGAGGCCAAGGGCCACCCCACCAGGGCTAAGGGCCAGGCCCCCCAGGGTAAAAATCACATGTCCCCAGCGGTTGGGGGAGTCCAGGCGCTGGGGACAAGGTGAGACACGAGGCAGGAAGCGGAGGTGGGCACGCGAGCAGGGAGGGTCCCGGAACTTCCTTCCCCAGGCGGCTCCGGAATCACTGGCCTCCCATCCCCCGCCCAGGAAGGCCTGTTCTCCTCCCCCCACCCCCCACGCTTCCCAGCCCAGCGCCCAAGGCCCCTCACCTGATAACCGTCGCTCAGGGGCCGCGGGCCGGCCTACCCCCGGGCCCGGCCAGCCCCCACCACCTCCAGGCCGTTTTCCCACGGGGGCGAGGCCCGGGGATGCCTGGCTTTCCGCCGCTCACCCTCCGGCCCATGGCGCTCGGGCCCGCGGCCCCGCTTGCAGCTCTGGCCCCTCTTCTCCGCACGGTTCTCAGCTGCGGCGGCAGCGGCAGCGGCAGCGGCAGCGGCGGGTGGGTGCGCGCCAGCGGACACGCGCTCCGCGGACACGCACGTGGAGGGAGGGCGGGGAGGGGTGCGCGGAGACCCACCGGGCCAGGCTCCGGAGGTCACAGGGACACGCGGACGCTGCAGCTCCCACGGGTGGCGCCAGTCACACCCGCGGCCCAGGCCCGCGGCCCCCTGGCGCCGCCGCAGCGCAGTCAACCCGGCCCAGGCGCGCGCGCCCCCGGCCACCCTGGCGCCCGGGCATCCTGCGCGGTGCGAGCCGTCACTCTGCAGACGCCTAGACAAAGCGCCAGCTCGCGGGCCCCTTCACCATCCGAAGGATGAGAGCGTGTGTCACATGTCTCTGGGCACCCTCCCCGCACACCCACACACACCCACACGGCCCCGCAGCACAGGCAGGGCCGGGCGCAAACCGTACTGTCTCTGGGACCCTCCCGTTCACAGACACACACTGAAGGTCATAACCGTTCTGCATCACCAAGTCACGTGGAGGGTCCCCAACAGGCACCGGGCGGGGGCAATGCCTGGTGGGGCTGTTTTGAGAGTGGGGCGCGAGGGTGAGGCTGCAAGGCTAGGTTCTGGGGCCGGTATGCCGGCTGCCCCCTCCTCCGGTCCCCACCCGCCCGCCACAGCGACCGGGCTCCGCCCCCGACCAACTGGCTCATGTCCCGGGTCCCAGTGGGCGGCGGCGGCACCAGCTTGAAGCCGTGTCTGCAGGCCCTTCTTGCCCTCCAGACTCCAGGAACTTTATGGGGCTAGACCCAGAAGAGCACTCGGGTCCTTTGTACCATCACCGCTGGTGGTCCTCCCAGTTGGGTAGCCTGAGCCTCACCTCCCGCGGGGACTTATTGGCTACTTTAGAGCCTCCCTGGCGCCTTCACCTCTTCTACTACAGGCTTGGATGGGGCGATGGGGCGGGCGGTGCAGGTGCACAGGGAAATTGGAGACCAGAGCCCACTCAAATGCAGGACAAGTTCTCTAACCTTGGCAAGTTTTCGAATCTAGGCCTGTGGGTAGGCGCTACACTGAGTGGGGAGTAGGGTGGGTTCTGCTACTTGATGCTGTTGCGCTCTGAACCTTGGCTAGGACGTTTGTAAAATGGGGGCTGGAAACTGTCCCCGTCCGCTCTGGTGTTACATGGCTTCAGATATTTTCCCCTTGTTCCGCAACACCTGTTTGGGCATCTGGCTCTGGCCCCTGTGTGGGGGTACCTGGGTTCACGGAGCTTACAGCAGAGGGTGAAGCAGGGTGGGGTTGGAGCCCCTTGTGGATCCTGCTACTATGTGTCTAATCTGGGTTTCTCAGCTCAAAAGCCTAGTTGAAATGTCGCCATTTTTTCTTTTACTTTTTTTTTTTTTAAATAAGGAGCTATTGTAGCATAAGGACCTCTGGTAGCGTAGTGGTTAAGAATCGGGCTGCGAACCGCAAGGTCAGCAGTTCGAAACTACCAGCTGTTCCGCAGGAGAAAGATGAGGCTTTCTGCTCCTGTAAAGATTTACAGCCTCAGAAACCCTGTATAGGGTCGCTATGGGTCGGAACCGACTCCACGGCTCCTAACAACAATAATTAGCATAGTGGTTATGAATTGGGCTGCGAACTTCAAGGTCAGCAGTTCAAAACTACCAGCGATGCAGCAGTAGAAAGATGAGGCAGTTGGCTTCCGTACAGATGTTTTTGGTTGTTCGTTCCATTGAGTGGGTTCTAACCCCTAGTGACGGTGTATAGGGTTTCCAAGGAGTGGATGGAAGGTTTGAAACATTGGGCTTTTGGTTAGCAGTTTACAGGCCTGGAAACCCCATAGGACATATCTCGCCTGTCCTGTATGTAGCTCTCTGAGTTGGCGATGGGATGGTAATTCTATATGGAACTTTCTGAGGAACTGCCAAACTGTTTGCACAGCAGCTGTGCCGTGTTGTGCCGTGTTACGTTCTCACCAGCAATGTATGAGGGTTCCAATGTCCACACCCTCACCAAGAGTTACTACTTCTTATTTAATAGCCATCCCTGTGAGTCTGAAGTACTATCTTGTGGTTTGGGTTTGCATTTCCCTGATGACTAATGGGCTTGAAAACCTTTCCATGTGTTTATTTGGTTACTGTAACATAGTGGGTTATTAGTTGGGCTGCTAACCACATGGTCTGTAGTTCAAATCCACCAGCCAATCCACAGGAGAACAAGAAGGCTTTCAGCTCCTGTAAAGATTTACAGCCTAGCAAATCCTACACAGGGTCACTGTGCGTTGGAACCAGTGGCACACAACATACCGCTAGTCCCGACTTCAACCTATGACTGTTCCCACCAGCAGCCTTATTCTTACTGAATCAGTGTTGCAGTGCATAATCTGCTAATGCTGCCATTCTCATGCCAACCCCCAAAGACAAAAGATAGGATTTGTAAAGTCGCTGAGAACCAACAGCAATCATGGAAAACTATAAAGAGAAAACGGTGTCTGACACACATCAGAACTGACGACGGAGATGTTGGGATGTTGGCATGTGTACTTTGCGGGGGAAATGCCTATTAAGTTCTTTGTCCATTTTATGATTGGGTAGTTTGTCTTTGTTGTTAAATTGTGGGAATTCTTGATATATTCTAGATATGAAGCCCTTATGATACGATTTGCAAATACTTCTTCCCATTCCGTGGGTTCTTTTTACCCTCCTGATCTACCAATCCTATTCCATCTGCATGGGCGGACTCAGCTGCAGCCAGTACCAGTTACACATGTTAATGAAGATCCGTTCATCTAGTGTCCTGTGTTGCCTGCTCTTCTAGTGCCGTATTTAAGAACTTATTGTCAAATTCAAGGACATGCAGATTTGGCCCTATGCTTTCTTCTAATAGTTCTATGGTTTTAGCTCCTACCTAGATCTCTGGTCCCTTAAGTGCTATATACAATCAAGGTACAACATTAGTCTTTTTATGTGGATACTCAGCTGTTCTAGCACCATTACTGCAGAGACTGGCCCTTCTCCATTGGGTGGTCTTGGCACCCTTGTTGGAATCCCTGACCATCTGTTGTTGTTGTTAAGTGCCGTTGAGTCGGTTCCAACTCATAGCAACTCTATATAGGGTTTCTGAGGAGCGGCTGGTAAGCTTGAACTGCTGACCTTGGGCTTCAAACTGACCTTGCAGTCCAGCGCATTCACCCTCAGTGCCACACCTGATCATCTAGGAAGGGTTTATTCTGGGCTTTCTCTCTGTTGCTTATGTGTGGGTCCTTGTACCAGTATCACACTGTTTTTATTACTGTTGCTTTGGAGGGAGGTTTGGAATCAGGAAATGCAAGTGATCCAACTTTATTCTTTTTCAACATTACTTTGGCTATTCAGAGTGCCTTGAAATTCCATATGGATGTTTTAGGATGAGTTTTTCCATTTCTGCAAAAAATGCCACAGAGATTTGATGGGTGGCATTGGATCTGTGGGTTGCAGGACTGTCATTTGTCCCCATATATTTGGGAGATACAAGAGCTCATCTCAAGGTGGGGAGATATGTGGGGATGTTTTCTATTGTCACACCAGACACATGGCAGGCAGTGAGGACACCCTCCCCATCCAGGCTGCCCTAGAGGGACTGGGATGTGCTACACCCTAAACTTGTTGGGCCTTGAGTGTCTGCTGAAGAGGCCAGCTGGTATCGGGCTGGGATTCTGGGATGCATGATGGTGTAACATGGCTGCAGGCTGGAGCCCCAGACACAAGTGCAGTCACGGTCATGAGCCCTCTAGGTTGTACGTACCGGCCCTTTTCCTGAGCAGTCGGAGGGCCCCTGCTTGTAAGGAATGGGACACTCTGTCACCAAGCCTCCAGGCTCGCAAGGAATGCAAGACCCCAGAAGACTGGAAGTAGGGACTCAACCAACTTTGTACAGTGCTGAGTACATTCCCGGTAGCCGAAGGTAGATACAACCTAAGTGAATGTGGTCCGTCCGTATGGACTAGGGCTCAGTCTTCCGGAAAAGTGATGCTCTTGCCTTGTGCTATGGCATGGAGGAAACTTGACAACATTCAGAGTGAAGTGTCACCCACTAAAGGATCTATGATTGTACAGACTCCACACATAGAGGCAGGAGGGCAGGGTCATGAGGCATTCTGACTTCAGTGTGATTCAGTGACATTACTGGGCAGTCCTCACATTATAGCCTCCCTGTGTATACCATTCAGTTATTAAGGACTCCCCCCACCCCATAGGCCTCTTACATTAAAACCTGAAGGTATAAACAATGACTCCTAATCACAGATAATACTAATCCATGATGAGCATCAGAATGTTATATTACTGTATTGTTGTGTTAACAGATAGTGTCTTTGTCATTGTTAAGTGCATCAGAATGCTATATTACTGGGCTCTTATGTTAAAGATGTTGTTAAGTGCCGTCTGTCTGCTCTAACTCACAGTGACCCTATGTACAATACAATACACTGCTGCTATACTTCAGCCCATTGGTGCTGCCACTGTGCCAGTCTGTCTCGTTGGGGGGCTTCATCTCTTTCTCCACTTGACCAAGCATGATGTCCTTGTCTAGGCACGGGTCCCTCCTAAGACGGATCCGTGTACCCGAGAGTGCTTCTTTCATGAACATAAGACGGTACATAGTGCTGGGCACTGTCAGATGAACACTGGGCTAACTGCTAACCACAGGTTGGCAGTTCAAACCCAGCAGCCACTCCTATGAAACACTATACAGGATCACTGTGAATTGGCACTAACCCAAGGGCACTTAATTAACAACAACAAAGAGAAACATTTGACTGTTTCAACTTACATACAAATTCAACTTAAGGAGAGACTTTGGAACGAAAGTAGTTTGTTCTCCGGTACTGTAAATGTCATTATATTCACCATGTTGTACAACTGTCCCCACCATAGTCCCAAAGCTTTTTGGTCACTCCAAGCAGAAACTTGGTGCCTCCTGAAAACAGCAAAGTT